GTCCACGATGGTTCTTCACGCATTCCACAGTCGTCTAAGTTTATGCCAAGCATGGAAGGACCTTCGGTGCCAGCAAATTTGCGATACGCCTGCGGCGGGTCCACTACGTCATCGTTACGTCATCGCCGCTACGAACGTGTGAGACTCTAGTCATCATAGTCAATCAAACGGTCCGCCGCAACCCGAAAAAGTTGAAAAATTGTTTTCGGTCGAAACTAGGAAATAAGCTCAGGTTAATTTAATATAGATTCACTTCTTAACAAGACGAATTGAAGGAAAGACAATCGAAAATGGGACGCGTTGTTAGGTTGCGCTCATAGTTTGTGTCACCGCGTCAAGACAAGAAAGATTCGCAAAATAGAAGTCTTCTGTTAAAGGCACATTCTGCGAGAAAATAAGGCTATGACTTCTCAAATGTGTCGGACGATCCGGAAGGTGATTTTTGAGGATGCGCTACTTTCAAAATGTGAAAAACGGCAAGAACTCCACTAGAAGCTGAGTAATTAGGCCCATGGACACCCCTTAGGCCCATGCCGACCCTCACCGGCTGCTAGCTACTAGCTAGTAGCCAATCTTTCTCTATAACATTTCGGACTGCTTTTTCTGCTGCTTTTCTCCGCTAATCAGATACTTAGCACTTTTTTGTGCCTATTTGAGTTCCGTTTCCCGCAATTTGCGGTCGCGAACTGTGCCTTTAACCCCTGGATCATTCTGTCAAAATCGACCAACATCGACATTTCCCAATACCATCATGAATTCGTCCTCCAAACTTTCTTTTCAGAGCTTCTAATCAATAGAGTAGCAGAAGTCACTCTTGCTTCGTTGGCTCTAAACTTCTCTTTATTCATAATCTCTCACTTATTTACCCGTTTTATCCAACTTTTACCACGTTTTTAGTGTCATATTCTCTGAAAATGTATTTACGAACCTTCCTTTCTCAAAGCAACCGCTGGTTCCTACTTTCGGGGTCTCATCGGGGTACAGCACGTTGTGTCACACACATAGGGGATCGTACTTTTCTCGGCTGCGACAGGGGGGAGGTCTATGTGCTCACAGCGAAGCAAACTTTTTCCCGGCTGTGTGTTCGTGATTTTCCTGTTTTCATGGCTACTATTTTACCCCCCCCCCCCCGCCTTCCCCTCCAGGTCAATCGTTGGTTGGCGGAATCCCCAACGGGGGAATCGTAAATATGGCCGCCAGGAGAGGGGGGGGGGGGGGGGTCGTAGTGAGTGCGGCAGCCAGTAACGAGCAGCGCAAATTGTCAATGTGCTGAGTCCTGTACAACGAAACTTGCTTTGTAGAGAACTCGGATATGCAAAAAAAGTACAAAACTTTCATTCATCAAACTAATCCGACGATAACTGCAAATATTAATAAGCTCATCTCGTAGGTCCGTTGGTGACTAAACAGTACAAACAGTCTCTGGTTCGCTGCCAATGATATGGCGTGTCCGCGGTCACGCTTGGCGCTGAGCCAACCTGTTTTTTTCTCGACAAGCGACAGGACTACCATATCGTTCATATCAGACGTTTTCCAGCAGTTGGTCTCCTTTATCGGAGTCAGCGATTGGCAGGAGCACGAATCTGGCAGCGTTGACAGGGACATGTTCCATCATACGCAACGGAAAACACTGTAAACAAGTGCACAGGCTCGCCATGGACCTCCCTGAACCTTATAGACACATTTGCTCGCGTGAACAGACATTACGCACAAGTTGCACCATCCCATCACCTCTGCGCGGCCCTCAGTGCGCGGCGCATCCAAAGTTGACGTGATCGGCGCTAAACGAACCATATCCTGCTCCTGCTCCACCACAGGATACGTTCTACATGCGTTCCTGGCTATTCGAACACGCTCACTTGAAACGGTACACAGGAAACGGGTTTTTCGCGCAGCTGGGAGTGTTCCTCAAGAAATCCCCATAGCGAGATCTCATGAATCCCGAGAGCTTCAGAAACAGTTCAAGAGGTTTTTAGAAAGAGAAAATCTTCAAACACTCGAAACCATTCTCAGATTTGTGAAATGTTGAGTTACAAAAAAAATATATTGATTCAAACCTGTTCGGTTGAAACCACTCCCCAACGAATCCCTATGGCAGATTTCTCTGTGATTTTTGCGACGTTCATAAACGTTTTAGTACTTTTAGGAAGTGCAAACCTTCCTCTACACGAATACGGTCTCCTCTTCCCCACAGGTCCGCTTTGAGGAAGTTATGGTCCTTCAAAAGACACCCTACTTTGCTGAAAATTCTCGCTCCATGGCTAAAATTGCCGAACGATCTGCGGTCACATCTGCAATTACATGCGCTTCTGCTACCGTACTCCAATAATCGGGGTAATGCATTTTTACGGCGGTTTGTATAACTGTTACGTAGTGAGACAAGCCTAACTTTCTCTTTTCCTCGTCCTCAATCTTGGGAATAGACGTTGTTAACACTGTGGTCGCTGATGGCCGCTCCCAGAGAGGGAGTCCACCTCAGGTTAACGAATGCTCATTGAATTTAATCGCGATATATTGTTATTATTACCATGTGTGTTTTCAAAACGCGCCCTATCCGAAGAAGTTCATCATACGAGTTTCTCATAATACGATTGTACCGTGTTTTGTTTGCAATCATCTCTGTATTGTTCTATTATGTCATGACTTCAAGTCGTCCATTTAGTATGGGCACCTTCATACAAGTAGAATTTCATAGTGGGCGTTTCATAGTTTCATTTAAGGCGAAAAAAACCGAACGGCAAAAAAAGGGGGGGTCGTACCGAACCCCCAAAAAAGGGGGGGGGGTCGTACAGGCTCGACCAAAATCCCCATCGAATGCTGTGCCCTGCCCCCCCCTCGACCACCGAAGCTTTGGGGCAGTAACTGGGGAAATGCGGAAAACTACCGGAAATGCGGTATAAATCAGGTTGGGAAAGCTCGTACGGAGACCCTACTTTAGGTGGGAGGTCGTACTAGCACCACAACTTCACTTATTACGATGCTGCACCCTGCGCCTTTTGGCGTTCGCGCGGACTAATCTGCCGGACTTTAGGGCATATCAAGTTTGATGCAAGTCGGCATATTACTTACTTTGTCACAGAAGCAAGGCAATGGTTTTCACGTCATGGGTCAGCCGCACGAGACTGAACATAGTAAATGTTCTGCACAGACATTCACCAATGTCTTCAGTGCTGGGGCGTTACTTTCCAGCGCGGCATCGCAGTAGACGAGATATTTAGTTGACGGGCAGCGCCACTGCCATGTCGAAATGGCTCGTCGGCTCTGTCTTCTGAGTAGAAACCTACCTCGGTCAGCGACTGAAAAGTCGTACTCTAGATCCGCGCACAACATGCCACCAATCCGCGCAATATGGCGCGGTGTCATCTCGGCGCATTCTGAAGAAACAACCGTAGTCAAATACATGTGTGATCTTGTCGAAAGATGGTAAGCCGGAAAAAATATGAGCTGGATACTGATAGTCGACCGAATGATAGGAGATCCCATTGTGGCTTTCCGTCGGTCAGCAGCAGTCAGCTTCAGCGGTCTCCGTGGTATGTGTTATATCCACTACCTTCTAGATGAATCGTTCCATATTATGCTGAATTTCAGAGCTTTGTGAGTGGAGGAAAACAGTGATCAAGGTCTACCAAGTAAAAAGCCTCGCCTATACTGTCTACAACTGCCGTGCAATTTATTGCTTTTCCCAGCTGTGACGTACTCCTCTCATGTTGGGTTGCGTCAAATTTGCATTCCTGGAATGTTGAGTGCGCAACTCCAACTTTCCCCTCGCGACACCTTTCTTTAGTGCTGGGTGTTCAGCAATGTTTGGCCACTAAGTGCACGTCGTACGGTGTCTATCAACACACATGTTGTGGGATTACCCTGAGCGAATGCTGTGGAGCCGTCACCGTAAGCAATTCGTTCACAGTTCACAACAATGATGAATCCACTATATAACATGGTTCCTTCAATGTCATGATTGTATTGCTGTTTATGATCCCCTCAAAAAACACCCTGAAAATGAATGTTTCAGATAGCCGGATGGGTGTTGGCTGGAGCACTGGTCGCTATAATTGTGATCGTGGTTTTCCTCGTTATTTGTAAGCGATAGTACAGCACTATAAAATTCCACAACAATACCTTCATCACAGGACCATTCGGCAAAAAAAGTTTTTTTGTGGCACCTCATGATTAGCTCTAGTTACACTTGTTAGGTGTTCTGTGGCTTTAGTGATGTTTGCTTCACGGTTGTTTTGTTCTTTCATATAAAAAAGAGAGATTAAACGATTACTGAAGGTCATCGCGAAACGAACTGACTCCTCAGCCGATATGTGGAAACAGTTTCTATCTGTTTACTAGACCTTCAAACCCGTTGCAGTTGCAGTAACATGTTTCCCCATGATTGGTCGCGTAGCAAGACGATGTCTAATAATCCGTCGCGATCTTATGCGCATGCTTGGGACTACGAGCATACAGTGGATGGGTAACGGGCGCTTTGCAACCAGACGTGTATCTCGCTCGCGGAGGGCCCGGGGGTATTTTCTCGAGGCATCTACTATCTTAGCAGTTGAAGTGAGAAGGTGAAAGAGGAGGGGACAGAGAAGGAAGGAAGGAAAAGAAGGAGGCAAGCGGAAAAAAAAAGGAGAGAGCAGAAGCCTCTGCGTTGACGAGATGGCGCTGACGGTTGTGAATGAGTGTTATCCGTAAGCCCAATTGCCTTGGCGAGCGCCGGGTGTTAAGTCGCGTCTCACACACAGCTCCGCCCGCATGAATTCTAAAACTCCGATAGGGATGCTTTGCGTATCCTAAAAAATTCCGCGGACGGCCACAAAAGCGCCGGGAGTGCGCACTCCCGGCCATGTGCAAAACCGCGTGTGTATGAGCGCGGCCTTACTTAAGAGATGATACGCGTAATACGTTGAAACTACTGGACTTTAGTGGCTAGAAGCGTTGGGATGGGTATCATTATTCCATTTTTGATTTGACTTTCACTCTATATAGAATCTAAACTTGTACGTCACGTGGAGCAAATATGAACAGTTTGCTGTTCGAGAATGGACTGTACCCAAAATGATTCCAAATTCTCCACGACCGACGACCGGACCCTTCTTTAATCTTGGCCATATGTTGTTCGTCCAATTATTGCTTGTATTAAAGCCGCCAGATTGTTGAACGTTTATTAAGCGTCCAACGTTTCCGGCTTCCTCGCCTTCGTTAAAAGTCCCTCGAGAGAGAGTCCGGACAACCACGTTTGTGATATAGCTCTCCCAAACGCCTTAACAAAATACTGAAGACCTTACCGTCGATAGCGTTAGGTTGCTTTACCAGTTTTTGTTAAGGCGTTTGGGAGAGCAAATCACAACTGTTTCGGACTCTTTCAGGCTCTGACGAAGGCGAGGAAGCCGAAACGTTGGCCTAATAAACGTTAACAATCTTGGTCGGCTTAAATACAACAATAATTGGACGGATTCCAAACTCCGTACACTCAAATGTTAGCACTTCATGAACCCTAAAGGCGACTTTTATGCAGCATGGTGATATACGCGTTGGTTTGGTCGCGTCCGAGCAGCATGCATTGCACATCTTCGCAACGCAGTGAATGCTAGTTCAAAAGGATACACAATGAATATTAAGGAAGAATCTAGGGCGTGATCCCCTTTATATGGACCTGCATTACTGGTGCAGTCACTGCGGGACGGGTTGGGCGTTGTCGCGGGATCGAGTTTGGCGCCGTGCCAAAACTTCTCCACCATGTCTTGGAAGCAAGCAAGTGATATGACTGTATCATATCGTTCGCGTTGCTCGTTTTCTACCACTTTTTGTCGCATGCGCGCTTCAAGACGAAGGCAGAGAACGGGCTTCACATGGCACACTCACACTGGTCTGACACGCCTAAATCGTCCGCAGCCAACACTACAGGGGGGGGCCAAAAAAAAAGTCACTTTGCTTCATTGACTTTCGAGGCGCTATAAGTTACACTTTATAAATTCTGATCGGACATTTCTACCACCATATTAAAGAGCATATTAAATACTATTATGACACTCCGCCACAGCCTTCTGGAGGAGCGCCATCGAGAGATTCTGGCACGCACCGCAGATCTCGGTCCTGAGTGGCGTCATTTCTCCGCCACGTACGACCACCCTATTTGGAACTGCCGCTCGAACCGGGTAATTGAGGGAATCAGGCCAGCGTGACCACTTTAAGATATTCCCATTGTCTTTAAGTACTCAGCCCTTCCATTCCAGGTAGGCCGAAAGTTTTCTCCAATGCTTCGATTTACGTGCGTGGCACCAATGCCTGTAGCAGCTTACAAGTTTCAAGAACGGTACGGCGGACGAGGGGTGGCGACATGTGGAGAAGATATTCTTCTTGAGTTGGTCGATGTAACCGCCAGCGCTCAGCTTCAGCCCGGGGTCCACGAAGAAAATATTGGTCTTTCCATTCCAGGTGCGTCCGGTCCATACCATCAACCCGCGCCTTGGCGACTGCCGTGAAGATGATGTCCTAGACCGTAGCGACGTTGTCGGAGCTGCTCGATGTTTGAAGGTCTTCCAGATTGAGATACTGGTCTCCAGGTAGCTATCCATGGGTGACTCCATACTAGAAGTTTCGCAGCTGTTTGGAGGTGACATGAATTCCAAAGGTCTTCTCCAGTCAGGCTGCGACTGGAGATGACCTCATATTTTGGTGTACATGAAGGTGATGGGCGAGGGCCAGCTCCTGCTTATCGAGGAACATCTTGGGTATCTTCCGCCCTGGTACTCGTATCCACGTCTTCTCTCTGGGCTGCGAAAACTTTGCTGATATGTGACTCGGTCGAAGTGACTTTTTTTGCCACCCTGTATATTCCTACTTATTCCTGACCTAAGAGGTAGGCTGGCATTCAGTGGGCCACAGAATTGTGTTGCTCGTGAATACTCCAGCCTGGAACACTGTCCTTCGTTCTGTGTTGGACAGCAGGAACGAAAAGCACAACGACAATTGTATTAGACTGAAAAATCTCACCAGAAGCATAGAATTCCCCAGGATTAGTTGAAGGCATGCTCGGCACGCCTGTAGCCGATCTCAGGGATTTCAGTGTAGTTGAAGCTCGCATCTCCGCTGCATAATGAGATGACGTCCACGGCTCAGTTCGCTGACGAGTTCTTTATGAGGACAGCGATCTGGGAAGCCATACTCTATGCTGCGAGAACCGTGCCGCTTTCGACAAGAACTCACATGTAATTGGGCGCTTGACTGTGGCTGTTCTTAGCAGATTCGCGCGATATGGCGCGGTGTTATCTCGGCGCGATCCTAAGAAACAGCCACAGTCAGCCCATTACATGTGAGTTCTTGTCGAAAAATTATAGGCAAGCGGAAAAAAATATGGGCTGGATACTGGTAGCCGACTAGATGATTAGGAGCCATTGTGGCTTTCAGTCGGTCAGACACAGTCAGTTCCAGCAGTCTCTGTGGTAAGTGTTATATCATACCTTTAGATGATTCACTTCATGCTATAGTAAAATTTCAGAGCTTTGTGAGGAAAACAATAGTCAAGTCTTGAAATAGTCTGAGTATTACTTTCCACAATGCCGGAATTCTTCCCAATTGGAGAAAAGGTGCATTAAATTCAAGCTAAAGGGACCACTTCCTGAACATTTTTGATTTCAGGATTGTTTGTTGAATAAGAAGTGCACGTCGTTTGGTGTCTATCAAAACTATTGTTGTGGGATTACTATGAACGAATGCTGTGGAACCGTCACCGTAAGCGAATCATTCACAGGATTAAAACATTAATGATTCATCTCAGTAACTATGATTATGCCTCTAGATTATTTGTATTGTTGTTTATGATCCTCTTTGAAAAGAAACACGTTGAAAATGGACGTTCCAGATAGCGGGATGGATTTTGGTACTGCACCGTCTGCACTAAGTCGCCTATAATTTGTGATCGTGTTCTTCCCTTCGTTGTTGCAACGCGATGAGTATTTGAACTGCCGCAGAATCACATCAGCATTCATTCAGAATGGGACCTTTTAGCAACTTTTTGTCATGTGCAGCTTTGGTTACAATTATGTCATCTGTAACTTGTAACTGTGCTCATATTTGCATTGTCTTCAATAAATAAAGATAACGATGTTGAACTCATAGCGAACCAACCGATTCCTCAGCAATAGCAATGTAATGAAAATAGTTTGTGAACACTTGCTGGGCGTCAAACCCCTTGGAATAACTTGAGGTGCTTCTCCATGTTGGTCGTAAGACGCTGTCTTTATCGTCGCGGTTTATCTATTTCACCAGTCGGATCGCCCGGCTTGACGCGAGGCGACTGCTCCCTCCTTTCTTTGGAAGCCTCCGCTTGCCGGGTCAGTGCAACTGCTTCAGAGTCGCTGACACATGCAACTGCAACTGCTTTAAGCCATGTGAGCGCAGGGCACCAAAGTTCTCAAATCTGGTCATGGATAATCGATTACTCTCCTCCCCATCTCATGACAGCCATGGATGCTTCGGTCTCCGCAGTCGCTGCGTGCTCCTGTTCAGGCGAGCGTCGGTCGCGCCAATATGGTACCCCTTCACCTCACCTATCCCCAAACCTCAGCTATTCCCCGCTCAGCCACCCTTACAGGTCACGCCTCAGCTGCTACGCGAATAGGCCGTGCAATGGTTCTGAGTGCACTAAATGGTTGTGTTATGTTGTGGAGGGTGTTATGACTATCAAAACGCTACCACAATTTGATAATGCAACATTAATCGGTTCAGTTCCGATTGCGGTCGATCCATTTTCTTCCCATCTTATCGCAACCGTAGACGCCTTACCGCCGCAGGCGCTATGTGCTCCTAATCGCGAAATCGCCGTTCTCATCTGGTATCCCCCTCACCACATCATATCCCAGTGACCCTATTTAACTGGCGCCCACTCCCGCACGTGGATGCAGCCGCCACGTGAGCAGCTGGTGCAACATAGGGACACTACGCCGCCACTGTTCTTACCACCGCCTTGCTCGTGCTCACGTCCAGCTCCCAAGCGAGCAGCTCCTGCAATAGCACAGAGTCTATCACAGTGGTTGGCTTAGATAGGGGAGCGATTCACAATTCAAACCGCTTCCTAGTTCGTTGCTGTACATGGAT